GTGATATTGATCATAGACATAAAGGTGTAACACTACTCAAATGAAGAAAGACGGACATTTCCGGTCGGGAAACTCAGGAACGAAGCAGAAATCTAGTGGCCGGCTCTGCCTGGTTAGAACTAGAAATAGAAAACTCGGGCCACCATTTTCCTGAGCTTTCTGCTCGGAACCATTGACCCAAGTAAACATCAGCTCGAAGGTTTTTGACTATGTATATAATGTTATGAACAGGTATATTACAGAGAATATTTCACTTGATGGTATAATATACAAAGCTACCCAGGTCCAAGAAAACTGGCGTCGTTAGGGTGTGGGTGTGGGTGGGTGTGGGTGTGGGTGGGTGTGGGTGTGGGTGGGTGTGGGTGTGGGTGCGGGTGTGGGTGAGTACAGGATCCTATTCACTCACACCCACACCCACACCCTTTCTCGTAGAAATCCAACGCCTGTTAATAGTCTCCTTGGTCATCCTTGATAAACCCGAGTTGATTATAAAAATGTACTTTGTCTTCCTCACTCTGTCTGTTTTAATAATAATGTGTATATTTCTTCAGTCTTGTCATTTTGATTCATCTTCCATATCAAGAAGCCTAGTTCCGGTGATGTCGTCGTCGCTTATGTTTTCTGTTAATTCACTGAGTTCCTTCTCATTTTTCTCACTGATCAGCGGTAAGTTAACTTGTCGTATACTCATGTCATGCTTATTTATTTATCGGATTTGTGGAACACGAAACACTATGTAGGTTGAAGCGAGAATTTGTTTTTTGTGAGAAAAAAGGCTGAATTCGAATACTAGAACAAATGGCGCCAATTTAACTGATGAATCAATCGTGATAATAAGCAGGACGCTAAGTTTGGTTTGGTCAGATTTGAGTTTTCCATTGATGGAATCAATGACAACACCTGTCTTCACTGGTAGATGAAAAATTATTGAGAATGTTAGTATAGTTGTGACTGTGACTGTATGAGTGCGGGATTATGTAGAGTGCGTCTCTGCCAAATTCACACCCAAACCCACAACGACATCCACACCCACAAGTTTACTTGAATTTTGTATTTAGATTTGTGAATAGATTGATGTATGCAGTCCTTTCCATATTAATTCTTTTTCAAATCTTTCTAAATAGGTTCCACAATAAATGCTTTTGAGTTTAAGTATTACGTTTAATTTTTTTTCTCACAAATATAAGAATCTTGTTTTATATTATATATAAATAGCTGTCTTGTCTTTTATGTTCACTGCATGGTTTACCATGGTGTAACATCTTTCTATAAATATGACTACAGCACGAACTACTTACGATGCCTCCTATACACTATTGTTATCAATGATATTCTAATGAAGATACTATAACTTAAGATTTAGAAACCCGTTTCGTACATGTCCGACAACGAAAATGATTTTATCATCAAAAAAAGCAGTCCTAAACTTGAAACAATCAAACATCATTAGATAGTACAATAATAAAAGGAACATTATAGCTTTTCCCAATTCTATATTAAAGTGCTAAAATATAAAGGCTACTGATTTTTAGTATTTTTCGCTGTTGTCCACAGTAAATAAGACAACTGAAAGTAAAAGATTGCTGGAGGTTCATTCACTTGTATCATTTGCATGACGCTTCTTACTATTATAAGGTTTCCGACGAAGATGGATTTCCACAATGGCATATCCAATCAAGCCCAGTGAGAGATAGACAAGAAGAAGAATCAATGATATTCGCATGCCGATGTAGCTAGTATACTAGAAAAGTCGTCCGTGTACAACTAAAACATAATTAAAAATTAACAATACATACACCATAGGTGAGTACGAAGCCCAGCGATTTCCACAGACGATACTTGGCCAAAGCGCTGGGATCACTTTCTGAATACAGAACTGTATAAGTTGCTAAAAACACAAAATTCTAGACACAAACTTAGAAGAACTGACAATATATACCGACTACTTGTGCCTGCCAGATAGCATTAGAAATGCTCCATAATCCAGCAATCACAAATAAAAAAATGATGGGGTGTTCATTGGGTTGCCATAGCAACATGAATATAATCGTACCATAGTTGAGAAGAGAAGCGACAATGTAAACAAAAATTCGACCGGTATGTTTCACCAAATAACCAAAAACATAATTGCTCAACGTTTGGCAGATGCCACCACAGACCATAACGAGACCCACATAACTGAAATTATTTCATAGTGTAAAAAGCAAGTGTTTCAGAACGAAGCACATATTTAAGACAATGCATTTTATCAATATTACTGTGATAGTTTTTTTGGAATTACTTTAGTTCTCTAAAAAGCACTATTTCCTGCATCAGATACTGACTGAATATGTAGATCGATGACAATTATCTGGAAGTCATACAAATCACTGTCAGCTCCAAGTTACACATAATGTCAAATCAAGGCTAACGTTTTGTAATGACGTTCGTATTAAGACTCAACAAGACGGTTATGCTGTTGTGATGATCATGCTATTTATCTTGAAATAGGTGTTTATTTGAAACTAGATTTACTAAACATATAAAAATTTTCTAAACGCTTTCGAACTCAAAGCATCTTTCATTGTTTCATGTTTCTCTCAACAAAATATTGTAATAGAGTTTTCAACATTCATCTCAAACTTTACCAAGAGCATTGTCTCCGAATGGGGTACCATATTTCAACTGATTAAGGCAATGTGCAAGTGTGACTCCTTATTTCTAAAGACATCGGATATACTAGAAATTTAATACAAAGAACAAAGTTTGCCCATTACAATTACCTACCGAATACCGATAAGACAAGTGACAAATGCCTAAAAAATGAAGTTTTTAGATTGAAATTCTCTTCCAGTGAAGTATCGATTTTTTTACTCGAGTGAATTGAGCAGTAAAAAAGCCGCTTTCAATGGTCGACCACATGGTCATTGGGATAAGAAAGAATTGATCAATATGTTTCCATCGTGTGAATGATCTAAGAACTTCCATGCTTTTCGTCAGTAACTCTTGAATGGTCTCTATTTAAAAAGTTTAAGCAGTTTCTTTGGGAGTGCTTTCTGTTATCTTTCTACTCACGTTTCTTAGTCAATTCAACTTTGTCCAGTGTAAGTGCAAGAATTATCATCGATAATACACTCATTCCAAGAAAGATTCCGCAGAGAAGGTAACGCTAGAAGAAAGTAAATTATTTTATCTAAGAAATGAGCTTGATGCGACACTTACTGTCGTATCATCGACATTCTGAGTAGTATTTGTTGGTAGAGCCCATCGTGGGTCAAAATTAACACCACAATTAATTTTTTGTAAATTGCTCGATTGATTTAGAACAAAATAAGAGATTAAGTTGCCCCAAATAATGTTAGTACTAAATAGTGCAAAAAAAATGCCACAGAAAAGACTAATTGATATTTCATCGGACTGTTTCTTATATTGGGCATGATAGCGTGCAATTTGATTTAGATAATTAGCTTGTGCTGTCCAGAGTGGTGCTGCGGCTAGACCAACTAAAGCTGCACCTTGAAGAAAATATTAGAAACTTGAATTTAATATTGAAAAATACTAATTCATGAAGATTTGGCATATTTTTTGAATGCTGATGCTTACTGATGTACATAAGTGCTGGTATGGGTTTTATATTGGCAGCAATGTAGAATATATAGCCGATCTCAGAGAAAATAATACTCCATTTGAGACCAAATATGTCTATGACAACGCCAATAAGAAAAATCGAACTGAACTGGGCGACGTAAAGAAACGATACTTTTTTACATGTAAAATTATAGTTACTTACGATTAGAAATGAATATGTTATAAGCAGAGAATTAACGCCAACATTATTCTTTATATTTAAACTAGACTGTAATGTTGCCATACCATTATAAGCAGTGAACATAAGTACGAAAGCTAGTGAAAGAAGTAGTAGGTTCTTGTAAATTTTACCGATTGAAAACACTGTTGGTAGCATCTCGTCGGCCGAAGCCGGTTTTTCTCGATCAATATTAAGTACTATGCCTGCTCTGCCACTAAAATTTGTCTGATCTTCGCTAGTAGAACTAATAAAAGAGAATCGTCGAGGGATTGAATCTGGCTCATCGGTCATTGTCACTGTTAATTCATATCAAGATACACTCGGTAGATCAGAGTATGAATAGTTCTATGAAGAGAATTGGTGGATATCGTCGGCTTTCCTGTGTTTATCTGCAATTAAAAAAAATAAAATAATATCGAATATCTCAATCATGTCAAAGATCTATGAAATTTTCATTTTAATAAAGGTCCCATTCTTACATGTGGGATATAACATATCTTGAAAGATCCCATAATCATATGTGTGTATGAAAAAATGGAGGCGAATCATGTGTACATATATAAATATATAGCACTTTTGATGAAATCGAAACCAAAAGAAGACAGCTATTCCGTATATCGGATGAATAGAAATATTTATTCGTTTCAACAGACTGTTTCATCATTATCAAAATAAAATCATGTTCTCTTTTCATGTAAAACATCAATCTTGAAAGAGTAATGGTCCAGATTTGACAAGGAATTTCATGACTTTGACTCTAGATTTGGTCTCAAAAAACACTAAGATGAACCATGTTAGAATGAATCCTTTGTTTTAAAATTTTTTAATTGATAGAAATATGTGAAAAGTCATATTTGTGTTAGAAATAAACTTTTCTTCAATCGTATTCTTCACTGAGACATAATTGCATTGAATACTCATTTAAATCCATCTCGAGAAAATTATAGTAATATTATTTCTCTTAAATCATAGTTTTTCTTGTACTTTTAATGCCAATAACATTGAACCATAGAGTGTCTCAAGTTTAGTTATTTTTCTAAATGGAAGTGTTCGAAATATTATGTTCATCATCACACTCAATACAAAACTACTCAGACAACATTTTCTCTAGACTTATATTCTACACACCAGCTATTTTCCATTCTATAGCGGGTGTCACTAATGTAGCTTCTCAAAAGATATATATATGTTTAATATGCATAGCTTCATTTTATTTCTAAATGTTTCCTTAGTCTTTTTACAACCATTTAACCTATCCGTGAGTCCTTAAACTTATATAAGTGTTTAATTTACTCCAGGAAATATTACAAATAGAAATAAATCATATTTTGCTTTTGCCTGCCCATTGCCAAAAAAATAAGTGATATATCTTAGGTTATCAAATTGTACTCTAATAATGATTAAAATTTACTAACTTACGCTACTTTTCGAAAAATAATGGCTCGCAGACAGCAATGGTTTATGCAAATGCTTAATGAGTAAAGTTTCAACAAAAAGCAGTAAACAACTGTTCAAAAGTCTAACAAAGCTTAGAAAACGAGTAAAGTAGGTCAAAGGCAATTGCAAACCTTCAGAACTCTTAAAGTCTTCAACAGTGGTTGCAGATTTTAATAGTTATGATGGCTTTTTGAATGGTTCTCCAAATCCAACGATAGGTAAGTTAGATTAATATAAAATATCCATGAATTATAGCTATTACTAATAAGCTATGAATAATGAGTAATTTTTATTTGCCATGCTTAAAATACTTTCAGTTATTATTTTAATAGGATGATTCTATATCTTGAATTCCACTCCTACTAAATCATAAATCTAACAGTAGTATAATTTATCACGAGCAGAATCCAAGAATTTTTTGAAGTGTGCGAAAATTTTTCAGCGCCTACCACAAACCATTGTCCTACAACGTTTCACAAATTCCTTATGCATCAATCTGAATACACACACAGATTACTATGGTAAAATAAATCTTATAGATTCGAAATTTTAGTCCGTAGATAGGTACTAAGAAGGCTTTTAACATCTGAAAACTTCATTGAAACTGACTATTTCGTTCACATTCTAATTGGAAAAGGCGTGCAAGTTCATAATGGAGAGTTTGCACTGTCTATTCAGATGGTCTATTTGGAAACTAGCTGCGCTACTGTAGAGCTAGAAACAAGATGCTGCTATCACACACTTAGACAGCTCCTAATTTATCGAGTGGAAAGGAACATACGCTAGTTGAATGTAATCAAATAGAAGATTAACATCTAAGAAATGTGCTAATGCTTTCATTTTCATCATAAATGAAGCTTAAATTGAAATGTAATAGAAGAGAAAAGCCCATTTTAAAGGTACTTTTTTGCGTAAAAACTATCCCTGGGAATATAAAGATGTCTAAATCATTATTTAATGTGAAGTATCAATAGTTTTGATCTCTTAGTTGAATTGTCTTGAGTCAAATAAAATGATCAATGTTAAATTTGAATCCCATTCCAAAAATGAGAGGAGAAAATCAAAGGGAAGAGTGAGGCAAAATGATTGGTAAAGCATTATTCTATTTTTCACGCAAGATTTTTCTTTGCATCGTAGTACTGGAACAAATGGTATTCTTAGTAGATTTTGTTATTTAAAGAAAGTTATATGTATGTACATTAATAAAGAAAACCATTCATCATAAATTCGATCAAGATAGATGGAAGTGTATGCATCTTTATTGGATAAGAGAATGAAACGAAATTCGGCTTGCATACAGATTTCGAAATAGTAATGTATATGAATGAAAGAGAATATAGATATGGAGAAGGAGGTTGTGTCAGGAGCATCATAACAGAATTCTTAAATAATGCTGGTGAGAAATCTGCCAAGGCACAGTCAAGTCTTCAGACTAGAATCATGGCCGCTTCGAAGGATGGATATTTTTCAGATATTTGCCATCTTTCATCAATAAGTATTAATTAATGTCAGTACGACTTATCTATGACAAACAGACACACTAACTTTAAAATGAAATAGTTGTGGAATAAAATCATCTTGATTTATGTCTAACATCAATTCGATCAAGATAGAGTAGATGCCAAAGATATCAGAGTAGTTTTTTCATATAAATGTGGGGGATGCCAATTCTGTCGTGAATAACTCCGTACTCTTGAAAACCAAGTCGCGAATAAAACCCACGTACTGCAACACGAGCTTGAACTAAGATTTCCCGTATGTTCAAGTTGCGTGCGTATTGCTCTAAAGATTCAACTAGCTTGCGCCCAATTCCTCTGCCTTGGACTTTATCATGGACAGCCATCTGGCGCAGTTGACCTCGTTCAGAAGAAATCTTTTCTAAGCCTACTACACCAAGAACTTCATCATTGTCCATATAAGCGAAATAAATAACGTGCTTATCATGTTCTAGTTCATCTTGCGTATATGGCTTGTTTAAAGGATCACGGAGGACACGCTGACGTAAAGCAATCACATGTGGATACAGTTCATCACCGTATTGGACTAATTCAATCTCACTCATCGGAATAATTCAAGTATTCTTCTTGATTATAAGTATGAATGATATATCTCTAAAAAATAATGAAATGTCAAACATGATCTTTCAGTCCAAGAATTCTGTCATAAAGCATTGAATCTACTCAACAACATCAGTAAAAAGCAGTCCTATATAGTTAGTGAAATTGAGTTTTAACTTAATCTACTACGGATTATGTAAATCCTCTGTGAATACCAAATAGTATCGAAAAATGTTATGATTGAAGAAACCAAAAGAAACGTGTCTGTATATAACAATATAAGGATTTGTAATTGACATTTAGTAGATTAACCCAAAACAGATTCAAATGGGACATGAATTATTCTATGAATAATGTCAAATGAAACGTATGTCATAGCATGAGTGTTTTAATTATTTTACCTATTTATTATCACACTATTGCAGCAACAACCATCCAAGTCGTTTTAGACAATGTGATTACTCGCTGATGTTCAATTTCTTTGCTATTAAAGCTAACTCAATCAAACTCCTGTATATCTGTACTAATGATATTTTCTTCATTCAATAGAACAACTCATTTGATAGCACTGATCCATAAGTATATAAAAAGGTATCACTTAAAAAAGGATCTTGCTTGAAAGAGATTCGTCTGCGTATGTTATTTGGATAGAAAGCTAAGAATCTGATAAGAAAAATATGACCTTGTAAATGACATTTCCGAAGATTATTGTACATTTTTGAAGCACACAATATTGTTATTTGAATAAATATTTACATGAAAGTTTTTTAATCCTAATGCATATTTGAATGTTAATGTAATAGTAGATAGATTTCATAATTTTATTCGCGCTTTATTTATCAATAGCAATGATGCAAGGCATTAGATTACATTCATATGAAGAAGAATCAATACATTGTGAAAGCTAATAGAAATCCACACAGTCAACTAATAAACTTGATATAGTTAGTTTAAAAAACTGGAAGTACCCACTGAGAAAGAGAATCATTAAATTAAAAATAAAGAATTGCAAGGAGAGATTTTAAAAGTAAATTATAGGTGGTAAATATTGTTCCATGAGTTTTTTATAATACGGCTTAACTTTTTCTATATCTACGACATCATGTGACTTGGAATAGAGATCATAGCTTGCAAACATTTGAACCCATTGTTTGTTTTCTTTATCGGCATCATTTTCGAAAACTGTGTAAGATCCAAATTTATGCCATGGAAAAAAAGAGTGAAATCTTATCATGTAATAAGATTGAATCGGTAATTGTTTCTTGGTTGATTGCTTCGTATTTTTCTCATGTTTCAGTACTTTATATAAATATTCATCATGGCTAAAAGACATTGTTAGATTATTTAATCCGCATCCTGCTTCATAACTTCCCAATTTTGTCGAATAAATCGGATGTTTCATATCAGGATTGAGGTCAAAATATTCTGAGAAAACACCCACTTTTTCAAACATGCATCCGACAGGAAATGTGTCACCTACATTAGCCCATTGTGGTTCACCGAATGCAGGCGTCAAGATTTTCCCTAGATCATGAATAAGACCGGTTAAATGTAACCATCCATATTTTTCTTCATCAGGAAATGACTTTCGTAGCGCTTCAGCAACTTGAAATGAATGAAAAATTTGGTCAAGTTCAGTATCAGGATCAGATTCGTCGACAAAGGCGCCACCTAATTCCAAAGCAGTCCACGGATCTAGTGCTCGTTTGTCCATAGCTTCGTACTTCTTCATCGTTGCTGTCGCAAACTCATAAGTTTGTCGTGTGTGCTGATTAAAATAAAAATTCTTCACAAGATCGTATCGCGGCCCATCTGTATGATTATAAAACTCTTCGGCTTTCTTAGAAATACTTGGTTCACAAACATTTTCCAATACAGAACTACTGTCTTCATGATGAGCCATTACAATATATTATTGTACTTCTATAACAAAAGTTGACATCGTAAGCTGAAATATTTTCTGACAGAAAGTAGCTTGTGAAATAGAATACAAGCATTTGCCATTCGGAATATAGTTAAGCAACACTAGCCTACACGTTATGTAATGCTAGTCAAAAGCTTGTCAAATTTTTTTCTTATTAGCAGTAGCGTAGTTAAAATGTGCTATGAGTTTGCATGCGACCACCACAGTACATGAATAGGAAGCAAATATGCAAAACCGAAGAATCTTACTGATTTGATCTAGATGGATACGAAAGACGCGTATATCATGGTGATACTCCATGCCCATAAGCCTCAAACCCTCGTTTTGTGATAAATCTGTCCTATGTATTAAGTTTTTTATTTCTATTCAAACTTTTACAATAAGCAGATGACTAATTAAAAGCACAATGTTCATATGGGTAAATGAGCACTTACTCAATTGCAGTTTCTACTCTCTTATGCAATGAAAATATTGGGCAAACATAATAAATTACTGTTCAAATAGAAGATAAATTTCATTTCGAAAAGCTGCATTCGTAACAGTTTTATCAATGATAAACACAACTAAATAATAATAAGCTTTTTAAAACAAGTGTCTCCCTTGGAAAATATATTTTTTTATCAATGGTTTGTTGATTCTTATAGTTGTGCTTGGACAAAAGAATCTCAGTTGATATCATGATAAGAACATTGACTAACAGCACGTTATCTTATTAACAGAGCATCCATGATAGGACTTTGAAACCAAGACATTGGTTAAATTTTACTCTTCTTGACTATTTTATAGGCACTCAAAAATTCTTATGTCTTCGCAGCTAATATCAAAAATATTCTCAAAAAGATATACTATAATTTTATAATACCATTCGATCTCTACAAGTCAGTCAATTTTTTTATGATTTATATAGCAGTAGATGGTAGGGAACATCGTAATTTACGTGTCCATAACGATTAACGTTAAGCAGTATATCAGATCCTATTTCTCAAAATCGAAAAAAAAACTTCATTCATTATGACAAGAGATGCTGATGAGTCCATGTATGAGAGAAGGCATCTTCATTTGTACCTCAAAGAACCGAAAATAAAACAAATATAAATGTAAAAATTGACTTAAGAATGTTCGATTCGATTAGTATATAGCAAAACAAAAAATATTTAACCCGTCCAATAGCCAAATTATCCAATAAATCATGTTCAGGGGAACATAAAATTAAAAATTCAATTTTTCATCTTTTTAATCTGGTATGCAAATGGTTTTTGATGAATTTTAATTTACTAAACCATCGCTCATTGGTTGCTGTAGTGATTGGGAGGATCAATAAGAGGCTATGTATATGTGCAAGTCGTGGATATAAATGATCGATTTTTTATAATAATGCTACAACTTTGTTCCTATTTATCACACTGTTCTATTGGATCAAATAATAATTCGAATTCTGTAAATAACAACTGCGTTTGTGTCGATAGTTAAATCCAATGATGATAATATATCGACTTCGATTGTTTGCAAATGGATTGTCACGGCACTAGTTGTACGTGTAACATTTACCATAAACTCCAATAACATGATGAAATCACACGATATCAGTTTATTTTTAATATTTTTTGCTTGTGCCTTTGTTTCCTTGTTAAATTCTTTCAACTTCAGACATGCACTTATTTCATTACATGATTCAATGCTACAACGAAGGGATTCATAATTGGTGTTCCACTTTGCATCTGACAGTGATTTTATCGTTAAACCAAACGTTGATTTGTCAAGTGCACTTCAAAGAACATAATAGCGTTTGACACCAATTGATATATATATGGTGTATTGTTAATTTCATTGGCAATCTGACATTCTGTTTCAGCAACTAATAATTCTCCATATTCATCTTGTGAGAGTTTGCTCAAAGATGATACCTTAGTGAAACACAGAACTTATTCATAATATATAAAATTGTAAAAGCCAATCACTCAACGTACTGTTACTTCAGCGATAAATATCAACCCATTGTGTAAAGTTACTTATCGCAAAATAGAACTCTCGAATTCTCCTCTAAAAGCGAAACCTTGTTTAATCAGATAACGAGCTGTATCAAGTAATGTAATAGTCACCTGCTTATTCAACTGCAAGATTGATTGTTGTTCTTAGTCGGCCTTACATAAATTTCCAGCATCCCTAAAATGCAAAAAGAACAACCGTAAGCGATTCTCAAGAAGTGTAGCGAACGATAAAAAGTTTACAAAAATGAGTTCTAACGTGGAAAAATGTAGAAACCGAAAGTAAATGAATGATGTTTCTAATGGATGGCAACTAAAAATATGGAATAGTTTATGTTTTATCCTTCTCTGTTTGGATTAATAGACATGACTGTTAATCGTACATAATAAATAGATAACGTAAGTTCTACAAGGAGGGCAACAGTTATAACATCTTCAAATAATGGAGTTCAACCACAGTTGAGTAGTTCGTTTATTGCTTCACAAAAAGGATAACCTTCACTAGTAGAAAATGACTATATTTTCAAATTAAACAAAACAACGCCTACAGCTAAATATTGGAAGTGTACATTTAATAGTTATCTGTCTAAGATTCATACAGATTTAAATGAAAAATTTGTTAAAGCAGGTGATGATCATACTCATTCTTTAGAGAAAAGAAATATTGAGGTTCGTGAATTTTATGAAAAAGTTGAACAGCGAGCAATTAATGAAACAGCATCTATTCCACGTATTTATAACGAAGAATATGCAAAAGCAATGCCATCACTTGAACAACTGAGAATGCTCCACAATGCTGATAAAATATTAATGAATGGAACATTTTCAACTTGTTCTAAAACGTTGGATTAAATGTATTCAATTCATGCTATAAAATATGATCAATGTGAGGGAATATTGTGATCTTTGAATATACATCTCAATCGTATAATTTTTGTATTCAGCGCCTCCGTGTGTTTTTGGTTTATTAACTTATCGATTAAAAAGTACGTATCAATTTATACTTCACGAGTTGAAATCAATAGCTATGTAGATGCAATAAGACTTTAAATCGAAGTCAACCATGACAGACTTCGAGCCTGGTCTAACAAGTATTACTGCAGCTGAAGTAACTGTCTATAATTTATCTTCTTGGTAGATATCAGATTGGTCTTTCTTGTATTTTGCTCAAGCTGTTTATCAATCTATACAACGATTTAGGTTATCTACAAGCTACAGTGATAATCAACATATTAAACATTTTTTCGAAAGGTAATGACTCTACCTTTACTTGCTGCACCTGTTATTGAAGATGTTTATGGTGATTTATTAGCAACAAAATCGATAGAATTAAACAATAAACTTAATGGTTTCTTAAAGTTCCTGTATCTCAATGATTCGTACACGGTCTTAGCTTTAGAAATAATAATAGTGCAGAAGATATATATTATTTTTAATAATTCTCATAGTCTGATTTTTTCATATTTTCTTTAGCATTGTGTAGTCGTTTTATTTGTGGAGTTCAAGTTGATCATCGAAACATTTGGTCGTTCATAACATTTCTACAAGGAAAAGAAACTCGTTTCCATCAGTTAAGTATCCAATTCTATGCAGGCTTAGAATCAAGAGCTAAACAATCCAAAACGACTGCAATTCAACATTGTGTTGACAATCTTGGTGAATGATACTATGATGGAGTTGTAAATGCAATGGAATATACTTATAACACTCTAAAAAAATAGGATTTTTACTGAACTTCGAAAGTACCGCATTTTTGCACCAAACCATTTTAAGTTCAGTAGATTTAATGGGACTTCAAAATTTACATACGAAACCTTACGAGAGTTCCGTATTTTGATTTGCAGCTTTGCACATCATAGACTAAGCCTCTGATAGTTTCGTAACTAAGTTTATGAGATTATGTACTAAACCTCTGGTAGTTTCACAAATTACTTTATGGTTTGGTGAGTCTTGTAATAAACCTGTCGTAATTTTGTAAGTTGAACTACGGTCTCGTACATAATCAACCAAACCGCAGACAGTTTCATTAATTGGTTTATGGTTTGGCACAGCTTCCACTGAACCTCTAGTAGTTTCGTAAGTTAATATATTGTTTCCTAGATCATGTGCTGAATTTTCGATGGCGTCGGAAGTTCGTTTGTGAATTTGTATATATTGTGTCAAACCTTCGCTAGCTTCGTAAATCGCAGAAATTTGTGTGATATGTCGATAAAAGGGATCTGGGCGTTATTATATAACCAAAGGTCCCGCTTTGTTTATGCCAATAATAATCTTAAGTTACGTAGCAAATCGAAAAGTCGTATTATGTAAACTGAACTTTTCGTCATGAGATTATTTGTAGAACTCGAACAGTTCGGCTTTAGTTTTGATCTATCGAACTCTTTGAACAAGTCCGTTCTAGGAACTGATCCATCAGTTTTCGAACACTATTTAGGAATGTTCTCCATAACTTGATTGCAGTTCTTCGTACCAAGGAGTCTGTTGAATCGGAAGACTTTTTTAGGCGTATCAGCTTAAAATTTTCTTCAATACATCCCTATTTTCAGATCGTTTTTTTCTCCATTATTGCAGAGACAAAACATGGTATTCTTCGTTGCATATGAATAGAGAATCATTGGTAGTCATGGAACGACCAGGGTGTGGGTTTGAGTGTGAGCTTTGTCAACAACTAAACCCACACAGCCACACCCAAAGGGATAGTAAGTTGGACACTGAAAAGAACCCTGAAAAATTGTCACCGAATTATATATATGATCACATATATAATGAAAAAAGTACCCAATTGAAAAAACGAAAAACTCTAAGTTGTACGAGTGTCAACAGCTATAAAGACGGTCTATCTTCCTATACCATTACATCTATTTCAAACATTGAGAAGGACATCAACTTTTTTTCAACAAAATGATTTACCTCTTTGGCATGTGAGTTTTCTCAAGTAGAGGATACAAAAAATCGTGGAAATTCTTAGGAACACTAGAGGATTTTGACTCAACA